CATAAATGATCGTCGAGAGGATGAACAGTATGGCAAGGGCTAGGCGAAGGAGAATTTGTCGTCTGAAACTGATCCTTTGGTTAAGCATTTATTTAAGTCCAAAACGACCGGTAACGGTTACTTTATTTTTCCTGGTATATTGAGTTCTGCTTCTTCATTTTGCTGCAGAGGAACTAGAACTTCCTTTTGGTTATTTATTCTGGAAAAAAAGAACGTTAAATTGAAAACTGTGAGAGAGCGAGGAGTTTCTACCAAAATTAGGCCTAAAAATTAAAACGTGGATGTCTTTGGAACTTACTTAATTCCGGTCATTGCTAGTGGACTCCTTCAGTGAAGAAAGAGCAGAAAAAGTGCCGTCATTGGAGGTGATAACGCGTCTTATCACCACATGCCCATTTAGCCGTAAAGATTAAAGGAGCGCGGACATCACGGGGGCTTCTTCGATCTCGCCTACCTAAGCTATAATTATGCTGAAATTTATCATTCAGAATAACATCCACAAATTTCTCGACTATGGAATTACCTAGCGTTAAACCTACTGACCAGCGCCAGCCAATTAATCTTCAAGCAAGGCCGATAACTGCCGGCAAACTTTTACGGCGTGACAAAATACTCGGGGACCGCTCGGCTAACCTGATCTTTGATATGCCGAAAGTGTTCCCTCAATCCTTGATCGTCGACTATGTTGTTTGTTTGGACTCTGGTTCCCTACTTGTTTGTCTATAGCACCAAACGTCGGCGTTCTTTATGGAATATGTTGACCACGTGTTCTTCCTGTGCCGAGCCCATTTTCTGATCCGTTCGAGAAGCCACTTGATGAAGCAGGAAAGAGAGCAGAATCAAAAGATTAATGGATTCCTTCGTCGTCCGTTCTTCGTCCCTACTCTATCGAGTTCCCTGTGTGCTCTCAATGCCGATGGCATCCATCATGCTGATTTCCTACCTACAGGCACAGTTGTAGCTGGAGCACTCAAAGGTCTCATTGCGTTGATCATGATCACCGGGTTCGTTAAGCGCGGAGGTAACGAAGAAACGAGAGCTCTCTGGAAAATGAGTTAGAGGTGACTGGCCGGTAGGGAGAAAAAACTAAAAAACGATCTAAAACCTCAACCTCAAATGCAACCCCATTCTGCCGGTTGGCTTGC